AATTTTTTTATAGCGGGGGGGGGGGAAGGGGGGGTTCCAGTGGCTGCTTTCCCTAACATAAAGGAAACATAAAGGAACATAAGGGAAAGTCACACACCCTTGGGTTCACATTCTGGTTCTGTCAATTATTGGTTGATGAGCTATGAGCTTTGGACAAGTTATTTAATGTTGACTTTTTTTTATGGGATCTTATATGTTGCTCAGGTTGTCCTTAAATTCATCATCCTCCTGTCTCAGCTTCCCAAGTAGCTAGGATTATAGATGTGTACCACTACACCTGAAAGCATGGCTCAAGTGGTATAGTACTTACTTGCCTAGCAAGCATGAGACTTAGAGTTCAAACCTCAGTCACTGCCAAAAAATAAATATATAAGTAAGTATAAGCTGGGTGCCAGGTGCCAGTGGCTCAGGCCTATAATCCTAACTACTCAGGAGTCAGAGATCAGGAGGATCACAGTTCAAATCCAGCCCAGGCAAATAGTTCTTGAGACCCTATCTAAAAAATACCCAACTTAAAAAAAATAATAAATAAATAAATAAATAAATAATACCCAACTTAAAAAGGACTGGTGGAGTGACTCAAGTGGTAGAGTGCCTGCCTAGCAAGTATGAGGCCCTGAGTTCAAACCCCAGTACAGCCTAAATAAATAAATAAATAAATAAATACAGGGTCTCACTATGTAGTCCAGGTTGACCTCAAATTTATAATCCTCCTGCATTGGCCTCCTAAGTGCTAGGATTACAGATATGCGCTACCATGCCTGGCTCTCAGGCTTTTATTTCTTCACCAATAATTGTGATCATTCCTCTGTAGGTGTAGGTGTTCCTCCAATTAAATGAAGATTTGGCTCAGTGCTTGGCAGCATTTATGAGATGCTATCGTGGTAGGTCCTATCTATCATTATCATCATTCATTCATGTTATGTTATAACAGTGAGACTGGGGTTTAAACTCAGGACTTTGTGCTTGAAAAGGCGGGCACTCTACCACTTGAGCCACACCTCCAGTCCGTTTTGCTCTGATTATTTTAGAGATGAGGTCGAGCCATGATCCTCTTGATCTTAGCCTCCCAAGTAACTAGGATTACAGGCAGTGCCCGGCATGTTATTGTAACTTGTATCTCCCTGGGCATATAATGTACTTTGCACATAGTAGGTATTCCACAAATGTTTGATGAATTTCTACTTTGTATAGATTGGCAAGTCAGGCTTTCTGTACCATCCTAAAGATACTCCTGGTAGGAAAATCTCCTCCACTTCCATTTTAGACCAAAAATTCTTCTCTTCCTCTGCAGCAACAAATTGAAGACTTTTGTCTGGTTTCCTCTCAATCTTAGACTTATTCTTCTAAACTGACTAGTAGTTGGTACAACAGTGCTGCAAGGAGGCCCCCCTCCAGGAGAAAAGCAAGACAAAGGAGGGCTGGTAGAGTGGCTCAAGTGGTAGAGTGCCTGCCCAGCAAGTGAGGCCCTGAATTCTAACCTCAGTGCCACCAAAGGGAAAAAAAAAAAAAAAAAAAAAAAAAAAAGCAAGGCAAAGGAAGTCTGAAAGAACAACCAGGGGTGTTAAATTACTCATTTATTTATAACAGACCTTCAGCCAGTACAGTACAAAACTTACAGTAGTATATCTCCATTACACAAATACTTACTTACAATATATTACATATACAAAATGCTTTGCAATAAGTCTCAAAAGCTAGTTTGACTCCCCTTGAGAAAGGAGAAAAACTCTTTAAAAAAGAGAGGAGGGGACAAGGAGAAACCAGAGGAAGAAAGGAAGAGGTGAAGGGGCAAGGGTGAAAAGACACCAAACAGACTACAGAGGAAGAAACCCTGGTAGAGAGGGAGAAGAGAGGTGGTATTGCACTTGCTTCTGTATTTTATTTTTTCTTTTTGTTCTTCATAATTTCTGATTAAAAAAAATATATATGTATATACATATATTATGTACACAAGGAAAGAAGCTGCCAGAAGTATTACAAAATTCTACCTGCAGCTTGGACACTGACACAAAAAACAAAGGTGTGGAAAAGTGTCTATTTAGAAATTTTTTTGTGGTGTTGATTTTGAATAGCAATATAAAAGGAAACACCTCTTTTCTCCATGTGGGTTTCAGTGTGTGGTGGTTTGGTTTTTTTTTTTTTTTCTTTTTCTTTTTCTTTTTTATGCAAAAGGAGCTGGGAGAGAGCATGAGGATGTTTGAGGTTCTAGAGCTGGAAGGCTCTGAAAAGTAGAATTTTGTACCTAAGACCCTGGTTAAAGTGCAGTGATGGTCTGGAGAGAGACAGGACGTCCCTCTCTCCCCTCCCTAGCACCTGGTCTTGCCCTTCCAGTCTCTGCTCTCATGGGCACAGAGTATAGCCTCAGAGCATAGTCCTTCATGTTCCTGGAGGTTACAGGTGCTAAGGCTGACTAGAAGAGGGGATGGGGACACCCTAAGGTTCTATTATCCCAAAAGGGACTAGTCCTTATGAGGTATCCCCAAATACACAGCAGTCACAGAAGAGGTGGGGGGCAGGTTTAATGGGAAGGGAGTTAATAACCAGAATAGTTCAGGAGAAACCCAGATACTAACCTCAGCTCTGCTACCATCCTGAAGAAGGAGCTCGTACCAAGGGTGCTGTTGAGAAGACCCTTCCCTCCTCTAGAGATCATTCTCTCGGAGCTGACACCCCATCCTCTGCTCTTGGCAGCACCTGTTTATTGCTACATTGTCAAGGAGGAAGAATTGCCCCACAGGGCCTCTGCCTGCCAATCTGGTTCTCTTGGGGAAAACACATAATGTGGGAGGAAAAGAAGGAATAAGAGGAAAAATTTTTTTCCCTTCCCATGGTAGGGTTAGGTAGACTCTTCCCAGAACCCTTAAGAGCCCCAATTCCAGGGTCTGATCCTTAGCCCACCCTTTACCATCCCCCCCCCAAATATCCCTGATAGGGAGTGAGAAATGCAGAAGAGGCAAAAGAGCCAATAGGAAAGGAAATGTGGAAAGAAAGATGGAAGGGAAAGGAAAAGGAGAGAGAGGACCGAGAGTTACAACTTGTGAGGTGTTGTGTTTGGTTTCTACTTTCTTTTTTTTCTTTTTATTTTTTTTTAAACATAGAAAAACAGCCTTTGGTTTGAATCTCAAGGAAGCAGAGAGTGTGATGGCTGTGGCCATGGGCAGGGGATTCTTTGTAGAAAGATACCTCCACTTTCAGTGGAACTGTACCTCCTCCTGCCCCTTCTCATGAATCCTCGGTTATCCAAATAGCCAGAGGTCTCTGCAGCCGCTAGAGAAGAGTGCCCCTCTTGCCCTGTGTCTGGGAGCTGAGTGTGGAAGGGCAGTGAAGGATGACCCCCAGTTAGTTGTACCCATCCTATTCTTGCTAGAACAAGGGTGGAATGGGCAAGGGGCACATGTAATTGCTCATCCTGGGACAATTTTTGGTTATACTGGAAATTAGAAAAGAGAAAAGAGACACCCTTTCCTCCCTGCCACTGATGATAACAGGGCCCAGGAGCCTGGGAATGAGAGAGTGAATGAATCCTGCTGGAAGGGAGAAGAAGAAGGCAGCATGACTGAGGAGTTGAGAAGCCTGGTTGTTGGACAGCAGTCCACCAGTTTCTCATAGGAGGGGGACTAAAGGAGTCCCTGAGAGCCTAGGAAGGTCACTAGAGTGAAGAAATTTGAGAGGTGGAGGAGAGAGATTTTGGCCCACCCCCTTCCCATGCCCTGGTTTCCAACTAGGCACCTGTGGTTCCTAGTGTGTTGGAGATAAGAGGGTTGCAGACCTTGCCTTGGCCCTAGAGAATAGTATATAAAATTGGGGCCCTCCAAGGACAGAAAAGCCACCACTGAGTAAGCGGCAGGTTGAAGAAAGTAGAGTGGCGTTGAGGGGCAGGTTGGGGAGAGGGAAGAGCTATATTATATCCCGGAGGGAGATCCTGAATGTAGGCTTTGGGGAACTCATCTTCCCAGGGGGAAATCAAGAGGACCCTAAGTCCACAGTGCCTGGGCAGAGTTTCTTCAGCCTCTTCTGCTTCCAAATGAGGAACTTCTTCATTCACTCAAAAATAGTGCAAGCTGCCTAAAGTGAGAGGGCACGAGAGGTATGAAGTACCAGGTTGAAGGGTCCCAAAGAGGAGATATAATGCCACAGAGCTAAGGTAGGGCCATTAGGAGGTATCAGCATCAGAACTGAAGAGTCAGATAAACTAAAGGGTGAATATTAAAGCAAGAAGCTCAAGATCTCTCAGTGTGAAGAGGAGCTTCAGACCCCTGGGGCTATTGGAGGATGCTGGATCCATAAGAAAAAAATTAAGCTTGAGTAGACGGGAGCTATGGGCAGGAGGATAAGGGAGTGGCAAGAGACTGTCATAAGTGAAAAAAGGCAAAAGAAAAAAATCATTAATAAATAATTCAGTGAATATGGTGGGATGAGAGGAGAAGTTTAGAAAAAGGAGAAACATAAGCAAAAGACCTGTTTTGTCACAATGCTTAAAAAGACCAGGGTATAGGAAAACAGGTGAGGAGGGTCAGGGTCAGATGTCAATTCAGGCGGCCAGTGGTGAGGGCTATAACAAAAAACTCCTTGGGATGTGGTGGGGATAGAGCTAGACACCTGTAGGTGGAGCAGTGGCAGGGATAGAGGTCACTAGCCCACTTTATGTTCCCCCCGAACAATGTGGGAAGAGAATTCGTACCGATCCTGGCTGTGGTAACCACAGATGTTGCATTCAAAAGGGTCTCTGAAGCCATGGCAGCCCATGTGAATGGTGAACATGACGTGGTCCAGGAAGAGGATGCGGCAGTGTTCACACTTGAAGGCTTTCACGGGCTCACCACTCTCACCCACCACCCGAAGCACTTCCTTGGAGGGGCCTGGAGTGCCCCGCAATAACCCCTCTTGTGGCTTGGGGTCCTCTTTGGCATAGGCAGGACTGTGCCGGCCCACCACTATTGTGGGAGGTGGCTGGGGTGGGGGACCCTGAGGGAGGGATACCACCCCCCCAATCCGATCTTCATGGTTGCTCTCTGTGTCTGTGGAGTCCTGGCAGCCATTGCTGGGAGATGCCCCAGGGTCAGTCAGAGGACCTCGGGCCCGGTAAAGAAGGGGACCTCCATCGCCCAGGTCCTCAGGTCCCTCACCTGCTTCTCGGGACCCTGGAAGCTCCAATCGACCAGGCAGGGGCTGCATCTGGGTGTAGACAGAACTGATGACAGGTGTGAGTTCTGAGATGCAGTTGGTGGGTGGAAGGCGTAGGGGACGCAGATGCTCTGTACCCACAAAGGCCAGAGAACCTCCAAAGCCAGGCTCCAGGCCGTGGTGTGCCACCAGCTCCACATCCTTTTCATATCCACCCGAGTTCACATCGTAGGGGAGGTCTGAAAGGCTGAAGCGCATCTGCTTTTCACCTGTGGAGAAGAAAGTCTCAGTAAGTTTGAGTTTGAAGACTTCCTAAGTTCTGCCCAGGATTGCTTCTTTGTTGTCTTACCCAGGGGGTTGAATGTAACATCATCATCATTATCATCATCATCCCTAGGTGCAGGGCCTTTCACATGCTAAGGCATGCACTCTATTCTGACTCCCTCATAGCATTATTTACTGTAGCTCATTTACTTTCCCCAAACTCAAGACCTCTGTGGGGCTATCCTGACTTTAGGCTGTCATCTTAGCAAAGGACTCTGTTTCAGCCTACCCATCTTGAATGTTTCCTTCATCACTCTCCATAAAGCTCCAGGTTCTCAGAGAGATAATGCCAGTGCTAGGTCAGGCAACCACATATACATTCCCTCTCTCTCACTCTAAGGGCCCACACAGACTGAAGTCCTTGTTATTCTTAAACACTCAGAGAGCCTAAGCCCTTGACTACCTGTCCATACAATTACCACAAGAGTTCTGAACACTGATCTCTCTTCACTCCCTTGAAGTACATTTTCCCTCTTTACTCCCTCCTGTTTTTGGGTACATTCTGAGTGCCACAAACTAATAGGCTGCTTCTTTCCCTAAGCCAAATCTCCTGACCCAAATCTCTGGTCTAATGACAACCAAAGCTCAGATTTATGTGAACTGTGGCTTAAGATGATAACTCCTTTCCAACTGAACTCTTACCTACAAATTTCTGTGGGGTGGAACGCTTGCGTTTGGTGAGGCTGTTGGCCAGACGATCAATGAAAGTTGGCCGCTCGGATGATGAGTGCAGCATGGAGTCTGGCACCATGTCTAGGTCACGTATTTCATCACCTAGGAGGGTTAGGGGGAGGTCAGGACAAGCTGAGTAAGGACAGCATTGACCCAGTAGCCTTTTCCTGAAGAAAACTAGCAGGTCAGTAGTGAAGGAAGGTCATACCTGATGCTTGGGTAACTGGGCTGCGTTTAGCCTTCCTAAAACTCATCCCAACAATATTTCAGACCATTTGGAGATTACATATTTTTATTTTTTATTTTTGGCATGGTATTGGGGATCGAACTTAGGGCCTTATGCATGTTATAAAAGCACTCTATCACTTGAATAACCCCCAGCCCTTTTGTTTGTTTGATATCTATCTATCTATTTTTATTTTGTGTGTGTGCAGTACTGGGGTTTGAATTCAAGGCCTCACACTTGCTAGGCAGGTGCTCTACCACTTGAGCCACACCCCCAGCCCTATATTTTTGTTTTTGAGATAGGATCTTACTAACTTTGCCCAGGTTGGTCTTGAACTCAAGATCCTCCTGCTTCTTTCTCCTGAGTAGCTCGGATTACATCTGTGCATCACCATTCCTGGCTACAATTACATATATGTTTACCTTTGATTTTATACTCCTTGTGTTCATGCTTTCCCATTAGACTGAGGATATAGATCCAAACTTCCTCCACTTCTGGATCTCCCTACAGTACTTACTATATGGCTCTTCTGTGCACCAGTTAGGATGGGATGCTTGGCAGACTTAACTGTAGATAACCATCCCTATATTCCACATACTTCATCCCTCTGTGGGAGAAAGTGGAATCACCCTTGTCTTACACCATCCCTGACCCTCCCCTCAACTCCCCCATGGAACTGCCTATAGCCCCACCTGGTTGGCCAGCCAAAGCTTGGGCTTCAGTGCTGAGACTCTGTAGGTAGTTGTGACACCGCTCCTTATGCTCCTCCAGGGTACTCTGCTGTTTGTAGCTCCGGCCGCAGTAGTTGCACTTGTAGGGCTTGCCCACTGTGGGAGAGGAGACTGTAGAGGAGAGGGCAAAGGCAGCATTAGAATTACTTTTCCCTATGGCCTGGCTCTGCAAAATCATCCAGGAACAAATATACACTGGCATGAGGAATGTTGCTAAGTTGGATTTTTCTGTTGTCTTCCCCTCCCCAACTCCATCTGCAAATAATGGACACATTTGGGAAAAAGGGACAATGTGAAGCTGTGGGAGTGCAGGGATCCAAGTTGCTTCTCAAAGGAAATGAAGACCTAGGGACTTCATAGGGGATCGTCTCTGGCAGGCAGGCAGGCCCCACCTCAGGATCTCAGAGTCTGGGGCTCAGACTGTGGTTTAACCTTTCCATGTAGCAGGCGGGTCTAAGTGCTGTTTATCAGACAAGGGGATTTTTTTTTTTTTGCTTGCGAACAGTCTGCTTTGGTTTTGGGGAAATTGGTGTGCTGGAGTGACAGAAATTAGAGCCCTTAGATCTGCCCATGTGGGGAGGGGCAGTTTTGCCCCTTTGACCTTTACTTGTATTTTTACCTCCTCTCCTTGCCTGGTCTTATTATTTTCTTTAACTGCTAAGAAATTCTGAAAAGAGAAAAATAATAAAAGAACAGAGAAGAAAATAAAGAAGAAGAGCAAAAGGAAGAGACCACAAGTTTGGGTTTGGTTAAAGAAGAAGAGCAAAAGGAAGAGACCACCAAGTTTGGGTTTGGTTTTATTTATTTATTTATGTATGTATTATTTATTTTATTTATTTTTTTTTATTTTTATTTAGCAGTACTGGACTACACCTTGAGACACTCAACCAGCCGTTTTTTGTGATTTTGCCCTTTGACCTTTACTTGTATTTTTACCGTCCTCTCCTTGCCTGGTCTTATTATTTCTTACTGCTAAGAAATTCTGAAAAGAGAAAAAATAATACAAGACAGAAAGAAGAAAATAAAGAAGAAGAGCAAAAGGAAGAGACACAGCACAAGTTTGGGTTTGGTTTTATTATTTATTTATGTAATGTAATTATTTTTAATTTATTTATTTTTTTTATATTTAGCAGTACTCGGGACTACACCTAATGACAAAACTCAACCAGCCGTTTTTTGTGATGGGTTTTTTTCGAGATAGGGTCTTATGAATTATTTGCCTGGGCTGGCTTCAAACTGTGATCCCGATCTATGCTTCCTGAATAGCAAGATTATAGGTGGGAGCCTCTGAGTCCAGCTATATTATTTTTTTTGTAGAACTGGGTTTGAAATCAAGGCATCATGCTTGCTATGTAGGTATTCTATCACTTGAGCCACTCCGTCCAGCCTGGTTTTTATTTTTTAAAGAAAAGATCTTGTTTCTAACTGAAGAAAATAATTGGAGAAAATTGAGATTGGTACTTTACTTAAGACGATTCTTAAGAGATGCTATTTGTGTGTGAGGAGAGAAAAAAATGAAGGGAACAAGGTAGCATATATAATTATAATGTCTTGCTATGATTTAGCAGGGAGGCAAGAGAAGGCATCCCTAGAGGCTGGTAATTATTACTACACCCTCACTAATCCTAAGCTGACCATGACAAATCAACTTTTGACACTTTTGCTCTTGCTCTGTAAACCCTAGTGTTTCAGGGATGAAATGAACACAAGGTCCAATCCACCCAAGACCTCAGGGAAATGGCTTAAATCTGGAGGAGAATGATCCTCTAGTCCTTTTTTTCTTCATCTCACACAGAAGGGACAACACTATACTTGTATTGCTTTGGCCCTATATCTTCCTATAGAACAACATCCAGAATCCATCCAGCTGACCTTGTTGGTAAGAATTCTGGGTGCTAAATCTTTGTTCCAAAGCACTGAGGCCACCTTTCCTAAGAAAAAGGAGCACTGAACCTTGAAGGTCTGCTATAATAACGATCCATAACTTATTCACTCCCGCTACCCAGATTTGGTTTCTTTGGTCAAACAAATGAGGTTATTACATCTTGGAAATTGCTATAAGGGCTCACATGAGGAAAAAAAAGGGAAATGCTTGTAGAATACAAAGCATGAATCAATGATGATCTCTGCTGTACTTCCAATACATACATAAAGATAAAAAGGTGCAGTTACAAGTGGGAAAACCTGGAATAAGGTAGGTGGATGGAGAAAGTAGAGGATGGTAAAGTGATTGCAGTGTCTCCTTTAAGTCTCTGGCCCGGGAGAGTTTAAGAAAAAATAAAAGAAAGTTCTGAGGATAGACTACTATTTATTTGCCCTTTTCCCTCTTCCTGGCCTTTTCTCAATATTGGAGCTTCTATCCTTCCTGCTAACAATAGCTGTTGGCCTATTCCCAATCCAAGCAAAAAGCCCAAAACTTAGTAAAATGCTTTAACAGTACTATATTGTACCAGTTTGATTTGACAGATACTGATTCAAGTAGTCTTGATTGGGCTAGAAAACTTTGGGCAATAGTTTTCCTAGCACTGTTCCAAAC